GGGCTCGGAAATTTGTCGAGACAACCGTAAGATGGGACGTCCTAAAAACGCATGAAGAATAAAGGGCCCATTAGACAGCAACGTTCGTTGTCAACGCGCGCTTGCCATTACACAAACAATTTTTTAAAAATTTTTTAAACACGCCCCAGATAAAACAACAAATATACTAAAAAATCGCTCTCACATGAGAATTTTTTCTCCTACTGTTCTCCTACTTTGTGAAATGCGAAATTTGTTTGTGTAATAGTAACATTTAAAATTTTAAGAAATGTGTTGACGAAAATCAAAAAATTTTGATATTTCTTCAAACACGCTCGTGTTTTTGCATATACAGTCGGATTTGGTCGGCATGCAAAATTTAATTTATATTGAGAAATAGAAGCGTAAACATCGTTTAAATGCACGCATGATTTGTCGCTAGAATGCGATGCTTTGCAAATATGAATGAATTTTATTTTAAATATTTGTATTTTCTACCTAGGTAAAAATTTTTAATTTCCAAAACATTTTATTAAGAAGAATTAAAATATTAATAACCTTGGGCTAAAAAAAATAACCAAACATTAAATTACAATAAAAATTTTGTTTTAAATATTAATTGCATTGTGCACCTACGGAAAATTTGTTATTAAAAAATACCAAAAAAAAAATTAAATTATATAAAATATAATATATATAAAAATAAATATATAAATTGAAATCATAAAAATAAATATAAATATATAAATTAAAATTATAAATTAAATGTCATCATTTTTCGTAAGGAAATTACGCATAGCAGCCGCTGTCGACACTTCAGCGATTGCTTTAATACTGATGAGTGCACAAATTTTGCATTGTTTGCTGGAGGCGTGTTTAAAAAATTGTTGGTAAATTTAATGTGCAATGGAGAGAGAAGACTTCGTGTGTTTGTCAACGCGCGTTGATGTCTAAAGGCCACTTAACATTGCAAAAAGAAATTCAGAAGTTCGGAAAAATATGTAACGAACTGAAAATTTTGACGAAAAATAGAACTACATTGAAGTGCATTATTCAGGTCCTATGCTCCAATGGAAGATATAGGAATTGATGATGATGATGATACTTTATAACGTAACCATAAAGTAATGGAAAGTAAAAAAGCTATTGTCAATGACGGTATTCAGCTGACACTTAAGAAAGAAAATGATAAAAAAAATTCTCTTCAATATCTACAGAATAAAATTGACGAAGATATGAGAACGCTTAAGTTTTCTCGCTGCGCACAAATAATGTAATGTAGAAAAGGTGTATCTAGAAAATGTAGCTGAACTGACAGAAATCAGACTCCATGCTCGGAATCTCCATAATTTTGGAAATTGGAAAACGTCTCAGTAATGTAGCTATAAGCGCTTCATAAATTCGTTAGAAATTTTGATGTCATTTGTGATGTCCACAACAAATCTACCTAATGACTGTTATTAATTAGTTAGTTGAAGTGGAGGGAGGAATGAATAATTCTCAATAAGCTAAAAAAGCCGTTATGAATTTACAATTCATCGTAATAGTGGGCAGAATAAGGTCGAACTAGATCAGCTAGAAGCATTTATAAAGACGCGAGTCTGGCCTATGCTAATACTAGAGATATCGCTGAGTGTATTAAAGAAGTGGCCCCAAAGCACCTAATCGTAACGACAGTTTTTACACAGTTCCATTTTACGGAAAATGGCTCTTAACACCCATATTACTAATGCTCGATTTGTGAATAATATTTTAAAATATTTTTTTATAAGCTCATTTTAAAGTTTACTAAATCAATAAACTAGATCACATTTTTCCAGTGATTTTTCAATATAAGTTATAATTTTTTTACATTTTGTTAACAAGTTTTACCTCATTCAGACCTCCTCAATACCTAGCATCTTTACTAGACACCACAATTTTTTAAATTATTACAGTATCATTCCATATGAATATAGAATGCTACTATTTTGTTTATACAAATTTATTTAAATTTTAGTAATTTTTGCCTAATAAAGAAACATATTTAATTTATACATAAAATTAATCTTTTTCATTTTTTTGCAAAGTTCCTTTGTTTATTCAACAATTGCTGTAATAAAAAAAGGCCCAGATTAGATACAGATAATACACATCTTAACTTTTAATATAGTAAAATAAAATAATTTTTTGATGTTTTGAAAATGTATTTATCTCTGACTTTCCAAATAGCCCCCGTAAACTTATAAATGAAATATAATTGTTAATTGTTTGTGCTTAAAATTTTTTATTGTTTAAACTTTCCATTCCATTTCAGGAATGAATCTCTTAATGATTATGACGCTAATAATGAAAATTATGATTATAGATATATTGACAACAATAATAAGAAACCTAAAAATTAAAGAATAAAGTAATGACATGTAAAAATAATAAGCGCCTATAAAACTAATTTTTATAATTTTTTACTAATGTTAATGATATTTGTTTTAAATAAATTTAAATAATATGTTAATACCATAAAGATTTCAAATTAATTGATTATCTAAATATATCTTTAAAGCCATATGTATCTTTTCTACCGTTTATTACTCTTTTGCTTTAAAATATGAAGAAATCCGACAAGAGAATCTTTAACGAAGATTAATATACCTAAAAATAAAGATATTCATTTCTAAAATTCGTGGTTTGTTTTAATTAAATAATTTATGATTTTAATCTCATAAGTTAATCTCATAAAACATGATGTGCTTATAAAAAAATATACAAGTGCTATATTATATAGTATTTTTTGACTACGCATAATCGTCAGTAGACGCAAAAATTAATCTCATTGAAAACAAATTATCTCAGAAAAAAAAGACATTGTACTGTATGTTACGATCTATAAATGAAGTTATAAAATGGGAACGTATTTTCAAATATAATTTGAAATGTATTCTAAAATGAAAGTAGTAATTAATCAATATTATTCATAAAAATGTACATTTTCTCCTTCAAAATATTTTTGTCTATTGCAACAATGAATCTATATCCAAAGTAGAATAATATTACTTAGTATTAGACTTAGATTTCCAAGTCTATACTCTTGAAAAGAGAGAATTTTTCGATTCTCTATACACCATTATAATAACAAAATATAGCAATATATATATATATATATACTGAATTTTTCAATCTTCAAAATAGTTCTTTAAAGTTAATTGTATGGTTCTTCGATATCTTTGGCTTAGCTTTTAGTATCTCAATCATTTCAAAATGCTTTCCCGAAATAATGGCTAATAATTGAAAAAAAAATATAGCTATATTAGCTTCGTTGACATAATGGACCCGACGGTCCCAGTGTCACATACCATTAGTGGAATGGCTTTTGCGTAGAAAAGACAAGAACATGTTACCGATTGCCTAATGCAATCGTCGCATAATAATATAATAGTGATATAGTGGAAAACTTAATTAAGTTTTGCAAAGTACTCCATATAATAACCAATTTAGCCTGTGTTGTGTACCTACAGGTTATTTAAACTTAAAATTATTTTTATTATAATATTTAAACATATGATAATTATAACACAGTCACTATAAACAAATATATATTTTCCATACCGTTCTTTTTACCAAAATTATTTTTAAAAAATTTTTCATCGACCGACTTATGCTTTTAGGAAATAAATATATTTTATGAAGTCATAGAAGTAAAGAAATTCAAAGATCTTACCCAATAATGTAAACCCCTGTTAATCGTCAACGAAACTTAAATATGACATGGAATCACCACTACACTGAACAGATCAAAGAACAATCAAAATGCTAGATAACGACGGCAAAAATCGTGCAGCCAACCAAGAAAATTATAGCTACTCTTTTTTAGGAACGCAAAGACTGTTAAATAAAACAGACTCCCTATAGGGAAATACTATTGAAAAAATTTAATTTTTTCCCTCAAAACAATGTAGTGGCTCATAATCCATCAGTACTTATTAGAGCACTAAGAGTAATTAACCATTCATTTTATTTGCCACATATGGCTCATATTGTTAAAAGCTTAAAGGGGAAACTGTTCGGTAGATGATAACTTTTCGGGAAATGAAGGGATAATAAACACGAAAAAGATAAATATTGTGGACACAACAATTTACTGTCTAGAAGAATGAAATACCTTGGGGCATTACCGAAAAATAAATAACAGAAAAATTTAGAAATGTTTTTTTCTATGTTATATACAAAACTTTTCCAGCATTTTCCATATGTTGTTGTCAGATTATTTTAAATTTTTATTATATGTATACATATAAAATTAGATCCTCGGAACTTATGAAAAGAGTCCGCGCGAACACTGCAAGACTTTTTACAGTTCTTTCTGGTATAGGAACCCACGCATATAAGCTGCGCATTCCTCATAATTCTCACTGCAGAAGTTGTGGAAAAAAACCAGCAGTATTACATTTTCACTGTGAATACCCAGATTTAGCGTTAAGAACAGGTCTTTAGGAAGATACTTCTTTGAGAGTTTATTACACTGTTAATCGGTGAAGATGAGAGATCTATTAAATTATCTAAACTCGATGGGATAAATTTAGTCTCTATTCTTCTATATTAGGGGTTCTTGCGAGAAATGTGGTGGCAAAACCGCAAAAAATCGCTAATTGCCGCAAAAAATCGCTAATTGAGGTGCATGGAAGTTATCTAATGACCTGCCACTGCAACCAATTAGCCATCCATATGTATATTATGTGACTACATACTTTATTTTATTCTTAAATACTTTTTACAAATACAATAAAAAATTATATGCGATATACATAAATATTACGCACAATATCTCAACAAAACTATTTTTTATCTTCTTAATAAAAATTGAATATATTATTATTAAGCTATTAAATTGTTTTTTTTTTTTACTTTATTATTTATAATAAAAGTTTCCATTAAAGATAAGCATTTCAAACTAATTTTTATTACTAACTTTATTATTATTATTATTACTTTCAATATACAAAGTTGTATATTAACAACTTACTATCTTTTTAGAATTCAATTAGACAAAATCAACAAGTCTCAAGTTTGGCAAATACGAATCGCTAACACCATAAACCATGCCGCACAGCAATTCTAGTATACCAACAACGCCTACGATAGCAGCAACGCCTACAGAAATATCTTGGAGAAGTTCCAGAAAGAAATCAAGTACATTGCCTGATAGAAATGATTTCCTCAATACAAATGAAAGGTATTTATATTATATTTTAGGAATACTCGTAATGTATGATGTTGTATATAGGTAATAGTAATCGTACGTAATAGATAAAATTTATATTGAAATGGAAAAATTTAAGCGCATTTTTATCACTTTTGTCGTATTTATTTTGTTGTCAAACAAAGCAGTATTGCCGTACTTATACATATGTCACCTGTATATAATGTTGCTCATACGCAATGAAGTGCTCTATTATAAAATTTCTTCAACAGCAAAGAGAAAGAGGCAACTATTTATCAAAAATTTTGTAATATATAACATAACAATTATTTAAAATATATTTTTCATCGCTTGTAACTATACTGATTAGATTGGATTTTAAATTGTACGAACTTTACATTTAAAAAAATTTTTTTTAATTTTAACTGAATTTTTCTGGTTGCATTTTCTGGTATACATTTATTCTAGTTTACTTTCAGTTGAAATTTAGAGTATAATAATAAAGCCACGTTTCATCCATGATTACATAGAAAATATAGAAAATCTTCTTAATGTTCTTATATCTTAATCTTTTATTTGTCGATAGCTATCTTATAGACAAATATTCATATAACATATATCCCGAATTTTTTAGAGGGTTTTTCGAATAGCAAAGAAAGAAATAAAGGACAAACACAAAAATTTATTTTAATTTTTATTGAAATTTGGCTAACCATATAACGCTGTTTCGAGTATTGCCAAGTACTCTTCATCAGTGGTCTTAGGAAATAATCGAATTTTATTTAATTAGTTTATAGTCCGTATATAATTTGTTTGAACTGCAAGTGCCAGACTTATTCAAATGGTATCATTACTATTTCAGCTATCTGCTATAGTTTTAATTTAAAAATACTTATGTTCTAGATTAACAGTTTCATTTGCTTGAGTAGAATGTTTTACGCAATCAGATTCTATACAACAATTAGTAAATTTAGAATACCAATTAATAGCAAATAATTTTCCACGGTCAGAGTTCCTATAAAACTCATGAAACCATTCTTTTATTTTAAGAGTATACCCAATATCCTACAATAGCTGGCTGCAGTAGCAGATGAATGTCAAAAATGAACTTAAATAAATGGATTACTTAAGTACGCTCAAGCTACAGTCGCTAACTACAATATTTCATGCAATTAAACTTGACCGGGGGTCGTCAAATGCAGCAGCGAGTTAATGTGGTTTAATCGTGCATTGGGCAATACATTTCCTGATCAAAAACTATGTTTAAGTCAATTTCTAAAATCCTAGTTAATCTTTACCAAATTTATAGATACCACTATATTAATTTCTAAGATAGGCCATCTGTATGTGATATCAAGAGTGTTTTGGGTATAAATTGATTTAATACAATGAATTATTTGCTAGTACAAGTGGATGAAAATTGTTTTTATAGTCGTTTTCAATGATTTCTTTCGAATAAGAAAGATGGCTCTTATTGATTTATAACAATTTTTTTACTAATAACGAAGCCTGCTAAAATGTTAGTGTGCCTCTTATGAATACTTATCAAATACATTATTATTACGAATTGTTCCATTTATTTGCTATATATAACATGTGTTCATATAATTATGTTATACTTAATTTAACAAATATTTAACTTAACAAATATTTATTGTTTAAAGTTATAATAAAAAAAGTAAATAATTTAGTTTAGAATCAAATTAATTTAATTTTTTTTTTATATTTTAGTGTACTTGGAACAAATTCAAACAAATCAACAAAAGAGAAAAAATTTTCATATTTTCAGTTAGTAAGTATTATTAAATTATTTGTATATATTAATATATTAATATATAGCTAGCTATGTTTTATTTACTATTCATTTTTTACGTTTATTACCATTAACCTAGTCGCTTAGAAAAATTAGAAAAAATATAAAATTAATAATATTAAAAAATAGAAAATAGAAAATTTTGTTCCTAACTAATCTAAATTTCTCATTCCCAAAAAATCAACTTTTTTGCCCAAATGACATCCCATAAACATATTAAATTATATGGTAACATAAAACTGCCCACATGTTAAGCCATATATAGCATGTCTTTTCTGCACCTATGGCATAGATGCAGATAATTTTTGAAAAAAACAAAAAAACAATAAAACTTATATATCAGGAGAATACATTTACTATATATACCAAAATATAGAATGCAGGTTCTCAAATTAAAATAAAGTAATTGAGTTCTTCATAATCTATCAAATTCTACGAATTTATCGAGAACTATCGAACCAATTTAGTATAGATTTTTTATTCAATTTTTATTCGACTATTTGAGACTTCTAAGTATGTTACTTTACCATCAAATTATTGAAACTATTTGACAATAATCTAATTTATAACAGCAAAAGTTGTCAAAGAGTCATTTTTTAGCAAAAGTAAGTGTTGATTGTTGAAGCTCTTTAAACTTTCATTAATTGTGGTGATAAATATTATTGTTAGCGGATGTGGCACCGCGACCGTCTGATCTATTGTGCCCCTTCTAGGTTTAGAGTAAGTCTCTAAGCCCTGTTACGTCAATAAAAAGTAGTGTAGAACCTACTTTACAGAATTTAATGCCTCTTCCGTAAGAATATGCATTCCCAGGAGCCCATACCGTATGTGCATTAGCGCAGAGCATTCTAACAGCAGATGTATTTTCAACTCTGATTTCCTTCACAGAATCTGCAGTTTGCATCCGTAAGTATACCCAGTCTTGTAAAGTGCTATTTTAGTTTACAGTGCCCTGTTATGATTCCTGTGATGATTGTAGGTTTTTCTTTTGATAGGTTCATACTATATTAATTTTGATTCATTAAATATCAATTAATTTGATGTGTAAAATTAAATTTGATGTATTTCAAAAACAAATTTAACTAAAAGTATTTGTAAGATTTTTTGTTTGGTTTTCATATATGAATCCTATTGTCTTATATACATTTTTTTCAATCGGTCTACTGCATTCAGCAAAATATTTCTTTTAAAACAAACGAGAAGATCGTCAACTGTTTTTCGTTTGTAATCTCGTTTGGGTAGACGGTAGCCACAATTAATTATTAATTTTGTTTCTTGATAACGTTCTATAACTATTTACATTAATTATTTGTTGCATCGTTTAGATATATACGCCTATTAATACTAATAAGTTATTTCAAATTTGAGCTATCTCTATTAAAAAAAAATAAAAATAATTAAAAAAGGTGGTAACCTGTTTTAAAGGCCATCGAAAATAATACATGATGTATTGAATATTCTCTGGATGATTCCAAAACAACAAATTTCTAAACTTGTGTTTATTTCCCTAACAATCCTCAAGTCCACTTCTGGACTCTCATGAAGATATGCTGATTTAAGGTCCGTCATCAACTAAAAGACAAATAAATAATATGATTTCTTAGCCCAGTTAAATCCTAGTGTGGAATAGTGATAAGCCCCCCAGCCATTATAGAGTAAAAGTGCGTAATAGCACTACCTCAAGAACAAGAAGAAGAAGAAGAAGAAGATTTCCCATTTAACTGGTAATTACACAACTTTTCAGAACTAAGATTAAATTCATAATCTTATTAAAATTACATCTACATATTTTTTAAAATAAAATAAATTTTTTTCCATAAAATAAATAGGGCAACTTTTGGGTTCATAGTCAATATTTAACTTAAAATTTTATTTCCAAACAAATCTAAAAAATATGACTTTTAAAACTAGATGTTTTTGCACCTCTGTTTTACTAAAATATTAATGCTAATAAAATTAGCATCAGTAACGCTAATATTTTTCCCCAATTCCTTAAAATAAAATTTGATTCTAAAGCAGTTGAGGCAGGAAGTGCATTACTCAGATCTGTGTCATCAAATAGTCCATCCCGCTCCTAAAAGTAAATATTAAAATATTTATCTACCTATTTTATTTAATTTACTTACACCTAAACCATGAATACCAAATGGTATTATGGGTGTTACATCATGCAGCTGATGATTACGACCAACTTGTCTACCGTTTGCCCCACCTTTACGACGATGGACACGTCTTCCTTTTTTACCTGAAATAAATATGGAATTTTATTTTAAAAATCTTCTCATGTATGGTATATATTGTGTATTTAAGTTATATAATTTACCACCACGCGGCATGTTCCTAAAGAATTGTATTTTTTATGGACTAATTTGAAGTCTAGAATGACTTCCAACTTATTTAGTAGCTTTTTGAATTCAATAAAAAACCCAGAATTTTGCTGACAAACGACATCTAAAAAATTTTTAAATATACTGAAATTTATATATTTTTGAATTTATAAGAAATTTTTATGTGCTCAATTTTTTATATAAATGCTAACTAGATTTTTTTTCTTAAATATACCCTCGAAGAAACGGTACTCAACTTAAGTGACCCTAACAATCAGGTGGAATATTTCAGCTTTGCTAGATACCTACCTCTACTTTAATCTGTGATAGCAAGAATGGTTAGTACTTACCTGTTAAGTTTTCTATCTCCGTCGGGCTCTTGCGAGATCGTTGATATCCATCCGCATTACATGAAGGGATAGTAAACTTTGTACAGTTTATTGATAATCGGTGGCAATTGTTAGAAATTTTTATGACGATTCCTTTTCATTCTGTCATAAAAACTAACTTTGGTACTATTATATAGAAGCGCAATTTATGTATTAGTTATACCTATCGAAGAAGAATCGAATATCCTAATTGACTACTAAGCATATATGGTAGTATTCATATGTTTTTATGATTTTTGAATGTGTCTCCATACTGACACGGTCATTAATTTTTCTGGCGATACCATTTGGTTTTTTGTTATTAGCTGATGTTGGTCCCCATATATACTTCGTAACACTAGTCCAATTATATCAATTGAATTATTTTCTTAAAGGTGACATTTTATGCTGCATTTTTTCATGAATGCAGTTTTGTTAATCTTTACTCATGTAAATAGTTATATTGATATGAAAATGACTGAAGTATCTAACGAAATTTACTGAGTTTTTTATTACTATAATAAAATTAAAGCTACTGCTAATTCATCTCGAAAAATATCTGGTATTTACAGTGTGAAAGCTGTGATTAAACACCAAGTGGTTTACTCAACACCCTACCTAAATTTTCGATATTAAAGACATACTCGTACCTTACTCTTGTCGGTTAGTCAATAAAAACCAAATAAATGTTGCAACTAGTGAAGCAAAACCGATACGTAAGCTATCAGAAGAGAAGAAAGCACTTAGACCTACAACATGGTCATTAGGAATCATTTTAGAAGAGCAAGCTGCGCAAAAACCCGCGATATTAAGTTCCACACAAATTAACGCAAAAAAATTTATGGAGCGAATTGCTACTAAATCGCAAGCATTACGGACAATAAAAAATGGATTAAATATGAGATTATTCGACACAAGTGATCATTGTCTAAAGCCGTTGACCCTGCACAAACCTGACTTCAAACCTGAATTGACACTGATATGCTGAAGGTTTGGTGGAATTGGAAGAGAGTTGTCAATTACAAGCTTATTCAGTCAAGTGTAACGATTAATTCTATTCACAATGCGACCACTTTATAAAAGAAAAAAAAAAGCGACCAAAACTGTCCAATAAAAAAGGGGTCTGCTTCATCACGATAATGTAAGGCCACTCACGTCTTTGATGGCTCGAAACTAGTTAACGGAATTTGGTTGAGAAGTTTTGATGCAACCAACGTACAGTCTACACCATCGGGCTACCCTTAGTTTCAGCTTTACTTCAAATTGTCGACCGAAGCATCACTTGGCCAAGTTTTAGCCCTTAAGCCTTAATAAAACTTCTTCACCGATGGAATTATGAAACCATCTTTACCATTGGCAAGAGATCATATATAATAAATGCCAATATGTACTTGATTATAATTAATTTTCAATAAAGAAAATCTTTGTTCACACTTGTATCGTAAAATCCCGAATACTTTTTATATTACCCAATATAATAAATTCATTCCTCGAAAGGTTCGAAGTAAACTATTCAATTACTTTGAAAAGATGAGCAATCATGGTAGTAGCCAATACTGTAAAAGGAACCAACTATTTAGACGAATTTTTTCGAGCAGTGATTTCTTTTTACATCAAGTGTTTCGGTTGAATATTTTAATAAACCTAGACCGGAACTATTGTTATTTCAAAGCGTTATTTTTTCACTTCTAGGATCTAATATACATCTGCTATATTTTACACACTTTTTGATATACTTTTTGGTTTACTTAATTAGCATATTATATTATAACATAACGATTATTTTAGCAAGTATTTCAATAATTAAGTACTATTTTTATCAATAAAAACAAAATCATTCATTTGCTTAAGGGCAGATGTACGAATGTAGTTCATTGAGTAATGAGTGTAGTATTTATAATAATATCTCCATCTGTGTGGGTACGTTTTTAGATTTAATTAATGATAAATACTCCATATTAATTTATGATTGTTTAAATTAGCTTAATGTAACAATGTTTTGTAGTAATACTAAATAATATTTAAATTTTTTTTCATTAACATTAACGTTCATGGAAATATTATATTAATGCAATATTTAATTATTATTCTAGTTTAAGTATTCCACGTCTTTTGAACGTCTGTTAGTAGTACTCGGCATAATATTAGCATCACTCGCTTCAATAGGCATACCTTACTCCATAGTAATATATGGAGAATTCACATCATTACTAATAGATCGTTCAGTTGGAATTGGCACATCCTCCACAACATTTATTCTACAACTCTTTGGAGGCGGACAAAAATTGTAAGTTATCGTATGACTATCTACTCTATACAGTATTTAATATATAACAGTATAGTATTTATAATATATAATCAATATGGTATGAAATATTCACAAGATATATAAAATTATCTGCTACTATTTTTAGAACAAATGCTACCAGAGAAGAAAACTTACAGGCCATCAGAGATGATGCTTTAGCTTTTGGTATTGGAAGTTTAGTAGGTGCTTTTGCGGAATGGTTGCTTATAGCTATTGCAGTGGATCTATTAAATCGTGTTGCTCTGAAACAGGTTAATAATTGTAATTGAAATCATATATAATATTAGTTAAAAATGCTATTTTATTTTCATCTATAGATCGGTAGAATAAGAAAACTATTTTTAGAAGCAATACTACGTCAAGATATGTCTTGGTATGACACAAGTTCTGGAAATAATTTTGCAAGTAAAATGACAGAGTAAGTTAAAATTGTATATAATAACATATGTGTAACTTTAACTAAAACCAATTATTTCACCATTAGAGATCTTGATAAAATGAAAGAAGGCATGGGCGAGAAGATCGGTATTTTTACTTTCCTAATTATGACTTTTATTACGGGAATTATCGCCTCCTTCTTCTATGGTTGGAAATTGACTTTAGTTGTCATTACTTGCTGTCCATTCATTATTATTTCTACAGCTATGGTAGCTAAAATACAGAGTTCTCTCACTCAAAAGGAATTAAAAGCATATTCTGCAGCTGGAGCTGTGGCTGAGGAAGTATTTTCTGGCATTCGCACTGTACTCGCCTTTAGTGGTGAACGTAAAGAAACTGAACGATTTAATAAGCTACTTTCACCTGCCGAGAATACAGGGCGGAAAAAGGGTCTTTACTCTGGAATAGGTGCAGGAACTATGTGGTTTATTATTTATTGCTGTTACGCAATTGCGATGTGGTATGGTGTGAAACTGATACTTGCTGAACGAGATGCAGAAGTTAGATACTACACTCCGGCTGTTTTAGTTATTGTGCTTTTTGGTATAATAATGGGCGCACAAAATTTAGGTTTCGCTTCACCACATGTAGAGGCATTCGGTACTGCTAAAGGTGCTGCACAAAGCGTTTTCTCAATTATAGAACGCAAATCGGCAATAGATTCACTAGACGACAAAGGCTTAACACCTACAAATATTGTTGGAAATATTTCTTTTGAACAACTTCATTTTCGTTATCCAGCACGTGAAGATGTAGAAATACTAAAAGGTTTTACATTAAATATTAAAGCTGGTCAAACTGTAGCTTTAGTTGGTGCATCAGGTTGTGGTAAGTCCACAACACTGCAATTAATGCAACGTTTCTATGATCCTCTGAATGGAATGGTTAGATTAGATGGTAAAAATATAAAAGATCTAAATGTTGCGTGGCTTCGTTCTCAAATTGGTGTGGTTGGACAAGAGCCTGTCTTATTTGCTACTACGATTGAAGAGAATATTCGTTATGGTAACCCATCAGCAAGTGTCGAAGATATACAGAAAGCTGCACGTATGGCAAATTGTCATGACTTTATAAGTAAGTTACCAAAGGGTTATGATACAATGGTAGGAGAGAGAGGTGCTCAAATGTCTGGTGGACAAAAACAACGTATTGCTATTGCACGTGCTCTTGTACGAAATCCTAGAATCTTACTTCTAGATGAAGCCACTTCTGCTCTAGATCCCACAGCTGAAAAACGAGTGCAAGATGCATTAGAAACTGCTAGTAAGGGACGAACTACATTAGTAGTATCACATCGTTTATCTACAGTAACTAATGCCGATCTGATTGTATTTGTTAAGGATGGCGCAGTTGTAGAACAGGGAACACATGAAGAACTAATGGAGAAAAAGGGATATTACTTTCAACTTGTAAATATAACTAAACGGAAAGAGGAATTAGAAGCTGACACAAGTGGTACAAATTTGATACATTCAAGTTCTGCAAAACAATTAGTCACTGGGGAAGATTCTGATACTGATGATAGTTTGGATGAAGAGTTGGCACAAGATGTTACATCTAAAGAAAGAAGTAAGTTTATTAAATATTATGACGAAATAATGACTGTGTGGTTAGCCAAAATTTCAATTAATTGCAAAAATAATAATAAAAGTTTTTCTTGTTGCAATTTCACTACTGTTCGATAAAAACCTCTTATTAAAAACAATAGTTTAAAAAAAAATATAGCTTCATTAGTCAAAACGAATGTTGGAAAACAATTTAATAATAAAATAATTAATAATTTCGAGATATCAAAAGTATCAATACACTACAACTCAACTAACAGCACTCAATTATTTGCCACAATTATATCTCTAGAAACAAGTTCTTTGTACTTTTATTCCAGTTTATATTTTTACTTGACTTATTGGTATAAAAAATTGTTAAGCAAATCATTTCCAATAAAAAATTAGTGTGTTTTTTCAAAAATTCATTTCAAATTGAATTAATGTCATCTCGCTCCTAATATATATATATAATAACGATGAATCCCCTAGTAAAGTAACAACTTAAGAAGGGATTTTTGTGATTCCTTCTAAAAATTATATAATCTAAATCTTTAGAACGGAATTTCTCTGACGAAGAATATTCATAGCCAATTTCCCTATTCATTTACTTACTTATGTTAAGCCTTTTCCGAGTTAGTGCATCTGACCACTTTTACTCTATGATGGCTGGGGGGTTTCTGCAGAGTCCCACCCATCTCACTGACTAATTTGAGTATTCCTGATAATCTTCGTGATTATTTAATGATTGATCTAATGATTGATTGCGTACTGCCCCATGCGGTTAGTGCTTACTCTGAGATTAGATAGTGCCTGTCGGTTTTCGCATATAAAAATAGAAACAAATTTTTAATTACGAATTAAGAAATCCTTTGTTAACAAAAACGAATAAGATCTGTAGAGTTTATTTAAGAGTTTTTTCAATGTTTTCTTTTAGAGAAATCAAATCGAAAGAAGAAGCAGAAAGAAAAATATAAAGTGTCCTTTAAACAACTTATGAAACTGAATGCTCCCGAATGGCGCTTCATACTAGCTGGATGCATTGCAGCAATGTTACACGGAGCAACTTTTCCAATTTGGGCTGTACTTTTCGGTGACTTCTTTGGGGTAAGCTTAACAAGTTTCAGAAATACCCTTCAAGTCTCTAATTATAAATAAATATTTAATTTATACAGGTTATGTCCGACGAAGATGCGGATTATGTACAATCCCAAGCTAATCTATTCTCATATCTCTTCATTGTGATTGGTGTGATTGCTGGTTTGGGTACATTAACTCAAAGTTATATGTTCAATACGGCTGGAGTAAAGATGACAACTCGATTACGTCAAACGGCCTTCAAGACAATTATAAGTCAAGAAGTAGCGTACTTTGATGATGAAAAGAATTCTGTAGGTGCATTGTGTGCTCGATTAGCTGGTGATTGCTCAAATGTGCAAGGAGTAAGTACAATCTCAATTCATTGTATAACATAATTTTATGTAATAAATTATTTAAAATTATTTAGGCTACTGGAGCAAGAGTTGGAATGATTGTACAGGCACTATCAACGCTCATTGTTGGAATTATTGTAGCTTTTATTTTCTCATGGAACTTAACATTGGTTACATTGGTTACCGTACCCTTCGTTTGCTTATCAATCTTTTTCGAGGCACGCTTTATGGAATCAAGTGCACTTGCTGAAAAACTCGCCATCGAAGATGCTTCACAAGTGGCAGTGGAAGCTATTTCGAATATACGTACTGTAGCAAGCTTAGGACTGGAAAAAAATGTACTGAGTCGTTACAATGAACAAATCGATCATGTTGATATTGCTTGCCGTAAGAAGGTAAGGTTTCGAGGAACGGTTTTCGGCATGGGTCAAGCATCACCATTCTTAGCATATGGAGTATCATTATATTATGGCGGATTACTAGTTGCAAATGAAGGCTTACAATACGAAAACATAATAAAGTATGTATATGTTCCATATTTAAAGGTACAACATATATAATTAATTTTAATTACATAACAGAGTGTCAGAAGCTTTAATATTCGGTTCATGGATGTTGGGACAAGCCTTAGCTTATGCACCAAATGTGAGTGCAGCTATACTATCTGCTGGAAGACTGTTGAAATTATTTAACAGAGCTCCGGCAATACAAAGTGTGCAAGATGATCCTTACAATACAGTTGAAGTAAGGTTTCCATATAAAGCATTTAAAAAAAATTTATTAATTTTTAAATACTAATTACATAGAAAACAGATGGTGACATTACGTATGAACAAGTCGACTTTCAATATCCAACAAGAAAAGGCATACAAATCTTACAAAATCTCAACCTAGATATTAAACGTGGAACCACAGTAGCATTGGTAGGACCTTCTGGATCTGGTAAATCGACTTGCGTACAACTTTTACTTCGTTATTATGATCCAAATAGTGGTTCAATCAATATAAGTGGTATACCAACTACAGAATTTTCAATGGATACTTTGCGTTCAAGCTTAGGTCTAGTATCACAAGAACCTGTATTATTCGATCGAACAATTGCAGAAAATATTGCTTATGGAAATAACTTCCGTGATGATATTCCTATGGCTGAGATAATGGAAGCTGCTAAGAAAGCAAATATTCATAACTTTATTGTTTCCTTACCTCAAGGTTATAGTACTTCCTTAGGTAACAAAGGCACACAATTATCTGGTGGTCAAAAGCAACGTATAGCTATTGCAAGAGCTATGGTAAGAAATCCAAAAATACTTATTTTGGATGAAGCCACATCTGCTTTAGATTTGGAGAGTGAAAAAGTGGTTCAGGAAGCTTTGGATGCTGCACGCAGTGGTAGAACTTGTATTACTATAGCCCATCGTCTAACAACAGTACGAGATGCAAACTTAATATATGTTTTAAAGAAAGGTCTTGTAGTAGAAAAGGGAACACATGATGAATTAATGGCAAGAAATGGCATTTATGCTGAACTTTATATGATGCAACAAGTCTCATAGTTTAATTATATAAAATAATAATTTTATATTCTCACAAATTATTTACATTGTTTTAATATTTACCTTTGAAATTTTCATATAGGATTTGAACCTTTTAAGGAATTATATCTGAAATGACTATAATGACAAGTGCTATAATATGTTAGATTAAAAAGATTAATCAAATTTTCCTATCATGTTTAATATAATATCAGATAGGTAAATCAATGAAAGTTTGAGATCAGATTATAAAGTTACATCCTTTTTATTTTTTTTTTTGATTTTATTTATTTTACTAAAAAATTGTTAATTACCAGAGGTCTAAGGTATTTCAAACCCACTATGAATTATCCTCTACTTTTGTTTAGTAGTAGTTTGTTTTTTCGTATTGATTCTTTTACCTTTTCTTGTTTTGAATTGCAGTTGTATCACGATTGTTTTTTTCAACGATAAGCCCCTATAAGCCCTCTATGCACGTTAGGTTTAATACAGACTTTTATCTAAAATAATATTGAGATATTTTTTAAATTATTTATTTCTAACAAAATATTCATTTAATACACCCAATAAGGAGTTCGCAGATCATGTAGAACATATTAATCTTATTTATGAACTTCATTTTTAAACTAAAAAAAAACTAATTAAACTAAAATACATTCTATATTTTTATTTATAATTTTTTCTATAACATTTACTTTAATAATATTGAAGAAAACAATATACTATAGATAATACTTTTAATAAATATGTGGGGTATTTTAAAGACAGCTATCCTGTATTGGTCCTGGGTTGGCAAGTGCATTTCGTCTTTCTTGTATAGCAAACGTTAATTTTCTGAAAGGTCCTAAAGGAAGTCCTAATGACTTCAAATCAGTTTCAGTTAAAAGCATAAGGGTGTCTAAATCAATTTGTTGTTTCTGAAATCTGAAAAAAAAGCAAACTTTATTGATATATGGTATAATCTATACGAAATGTTTATAATTTTTAATATATATTTTTTTAAAAAATTAATTTTCAACGCCCGTTTAAACTATTGTTTTCAATAGATAGATATTTCGAACAGTAGTAAATAACAAGAATAAAATTTTATTATTTATTAATTAATTGAATTGGAGGGTCAATTAGTAAAAAAATAATAAATAATAAAGATTCAATTAGTAAAAAATAAAAAATTATTGTTGTAATTTACTACTATTCGAAATACCACTCTATTTATTTTTATTAAAATCACTTTTTAAATTTTTAGCTCGTTTAAAAATGTTCTCACTTACATGTTGATGTATTCATCTAATCCCCAAACAGCTAAGAACCGCTGTATGGGACTACCAGCAACATCTTGATCATCTTCATCACTGAACGCATCGCCACCATCTGAGTCACTGTCTGATAAATTAAGAAAAGTTCTACCTTTATTACCACGACTTTTACCAGCAGTTGTTACTGATGTGTTTAAAGAAGTATTAGTCGTTGAATTTGATGCCGTATCCGGTGAATAAGAGTTCGTATGCAAATGGCTTAAAGCGGCAGTAACTGAACGTCTAAAAGCAATACTGCCTAACATAGGTCTATCAAAAAGGCCAGCTGGTCTTTGTGCTCCAATTTCTTCACTTAATCCTTCACAACTATAATCATCGAGTAAATCAGGCTGTGAAAATGAACGTGATAGTGTACCATAACCTAGTCTCCCAGTGTCACGTTCAGTATCACTATTGGCAGCTTCAACCTCAAATACATCACTTATTTTACCACGCTTTCCATTATCTTCATTAGAACTAAAAGTTCCAACATACAAAACTTCAGAATCCCTTTGTAGACCGGTTAACGAAGTTATTGTACGTTTACCGTCTGCTTCGATTTCCCCGATCTTAAAACCATTGGCAGCGTCACCATAATTATTGCCAGCTGCTTGACTTTTCAGTTTTTTCTGTACAGTACCAGTGCGACTTACCATAGAGCCACCAGCATTATTATTACTGCTAGTACCCACTAAATCACTAAATTTGGTACTGCCTGGGTTTGTATTGTTAAAGTTATCTTTACCTGATTTATTCAAATTACCCTGACTTGACCAAATTTTTTGTTTCAATGTAGAAAGCATCTTACCGCTCGACTTGTTCGTGATTGAAGCTGGTTTAACATCGACGCATTCATTCTCTTGTTTCTGTTGTCGTTTCATGTATTCGCGCATGCGTTTTTCACAATTTTTCTCCGCCAATTCCTTTAGAGCCTTAGCTTTCTTTCTATAAATATGAGAGTTCGATCCAATTAATTATACAGTTCATGCATGTAAGAATATTGAGTTACCTATCATTTGTCTCGAAATTTGACATGGCAGTATCCAAATACCTTAATATATCATCTCGATTGTTAATAGCCGCAAGATCCTTAGCACTATGTTTATCAATGTCGAGCGCATATATATTCACTCCAAATTTAATCAAAAAATCAACACAGTGCAAGTGTCCTTTAGCAGATGACAAATGTAATGCTGTGTTTCCAAATTGGTCACATTTATCAGGATCCCCCCTATATGTGCAATAAGAAAAATAATATATATATATGTATTAATAAAACAGGTTATAATTATATTCTACTTAAAACAATTTTATTACCCTCTGCCACATAAAAGACGCAAAGCATCCAGACGACCCTCAAAAGCTGACCATAATACTGGTGTCATTGAATCGTCATCCTTCGAATTCGCATCTTTTCGTGTAGCCTCTTTCAAGACATCAAGTAATCCATCTTTAGCAGCTCTTATAATACAAATGTATATATAAGCATAAATGTGATGTAATTCATATTGTTAAAAAATCGAAAATTCCCCTCTTATTATAAAACATAATGGATATCTCATTAGATAGATATAGCAGATAGAGAAAGAAAAAGGATAGACTATGAATAAGGACTAATACCAATTTATTTTAAATAATTTTAATATTCTAAACAATATTTTTACTGCACAGTATATACCGATATAGCTTGATTCACAAAATATCGAGGTTTAAAATTATCAGTATTTATTTATAACTTATAACATTTATTTAGAGTTGTTTTGTTTATGAAACAATAATTAAATATCTTGTATTGGAAGTTTGCATTTAAAAATTAACAACTTTGGAATATGAAATCTCGATCACAGAGATATATTATAACAATATTGACATATGCCATAGTGAAAAAGTAACTCAAAATAAAGTACTTAACTATCACCTGCCCGGTAATGCCCTATTTAACTGTATGATCAGTACTTAATCATACAGTCAAATAGGGCATTGCACTTAACAGACAGTAACAACCTCCCTCCAACGCAGTAACTATAATTTTTGCACTATTAGATGCGGTCCATTGCTGCCGACGTTTTGTGTTAAATAAAAAAAACACAGAAATGTCCGTTAACAACCAAGTCCTGTAAATGTTTAAGAACCCGCGGCTATAATGTTATGCTATAAGTTCAAAGCTGTGAACGACTTTATTTATTTGGGATTCAGCATATACACCATAAATAACATAAGCCTAGGGATTCAACGAGGAATCACTCTTGCCATTAGATGTTACTTTGGAGTAAGTAAACAATTAAGAAATAAAGCTTTAACTTAACAAACATAAATCAGGATGTACAAGTCTCTTTTAATGGCTGTCATTTTGTATGGTGCGAATTTTGCGCAATAACCAACAATGTAAAGAAAATATTAGAAGCATTCGAGGCAAAAATTCTTCGAAAGATCTATTGTTCCTTAAACGTTGCTAACGATTATCAAATTAGATAAAATGATTATCTGCATAAGCTATATCGCAACATTAAAATATTTTAGAGGATAATGGGAAGGATATAATTGAAATCAACCGGGGTCTAGACATAGAAACCATAAATTAGTTTGTGCACTGGGACAAGATAACAAATGGACGACATCATAGAGGTAGAGCTACAGTTTGGGCACACTTTAGGAATGGATGTGTTTATGCGTGACAAGTAACTGTTTAGCACATTGCTATATCATGATCTCAATTGAGCTAGAACAGTTCTTGCTGCACGGGGGAGACGACTTTACGACTTTCTTCCTGGGAGATATTAGTCGGAGGCCTGTTGAGAATCTTGTTGAGAGTCAACCTAGGTCTCGAAGAATACACTGCATCAGTGTGGAGTGCTATAAATTCACGTTTGTATTCGACCTTACTGATGTAAGCTCCATTGCAATTTTGGTCGATATGGTTTATGGATGGATTAAAATACTCTGGTATTCTCATCCATTGCGGTATTTTATTTATCCAATACGATAGAAAACGTTTGTATCTTCGGTAAAAAAAAACCAGGTTAACGACTACAAGCCACTGATCGAGTTGGCTTGAAGAGGTTAAAGAACTTAGCCAATGATAATTCTGGTCTATAATGACCAATTAAGTAAAAAATTAAACTGTTTGGATTTAAAAAAACTTCTTTTGAGGGTTGCAATTACCTCACTCGGCCAATATATCCGTTTCTACTTTATGAACCAAATTTTCTTAACCATAAGAAGTGGTATTATGAGATTAAAATATTGGTCAACTTAGGTAATAAGTAGGCTGTTGTGATTTGTTTTACCTTCTTCAGGGGGTAACAAATTCCTCACTCCACCAATACATCCATTTCGTCTTTATAAACTACATTTTCTTATCACTGTTGCGTTACAGTAAGTTTCTTATGAATATTCATTCATAAGAAGTGGAATTTGTAGATTGAAGTCTCACGCGATGGTTTTTTATGTTTTCAATCTGCGGTCAAAAATCTCAGAAAAGTCAAGAAGGGATAAATTAGTAACCAAATCACAATCAGTACCAGTGGTAACATTTTCAAGCGGTTTTAATTTAGCAGCTAAGTAGCCTATTTTCAGTGCTCTATCGATGCATTTTCTAAATTTCTCTTCTTTTTAAGTTAAAATCGTTCTTAATATTTATTAAGCTAGAATTCGCTATGGAAATATAATGTACTTTATTACTGATAATATTAAGGGACCAGTTTTGCCACCTTAACCTCTTTCCTCTAAAACGAACGAATGAAATTCATTTTTCGGTAATGAATTTACAGGTGCGGGGAGCGTTTCAAACCATAATTATTGAATTGATGTTACAGATAAGATAGACAGGCAAACAGAATGTATATTGAGAAAATATTATTTGAATTCTAATTTAAAAACTTACTTGTGATATCTATCGGCAGACATTTTTTAATATTTTTTTTTCTAAAGTTTATATCACTTCCAAATTTTTATATATTAACTCAAAAGGACTTATTCACTTAACACAGATATACAGACATCAGAAGAATATGTAACGCGTTTTATTATAAAAATTAATTACTTTTAACTTGAATTTGTATTTTTGCTAATTATTTTTCTTTTTTTTCACTTCAATAAGAGAAAATAACTCGATTGGGCAAGAACTGCGATCGTAGACAATTGCACGCATGAAGTGAAAAGTACTTTCGGCTAATATATACAACCACACACACGTACGTTTAGTAATTAGAAATCGAGCCCGTATGTAAGCTCAATAAAAACAAGTTCATTATACTAAATGCTTTAAAATTTGTTTATTTTAAATTCTTTAATTTTTTTATATAACGAATTATTGTTGGTAAACTTTACTTGTAAGTTTGTTTATATTTTCACCGTCACTCATGGAAATTGCCACTTGTTTACCTGCAGAGAAAAATAAGTTAACTGATAATGAACTTCAACAAACTGCGCTCTTTTGGTCAAAAAAGAAACTTAACGTTTGAGCCCAGAGTACAAATGGCTCGAAATAGAGTTACCAATACCTAATCGCACGCTCAAAATTTAAACATGGCAGTAGTGCACATGTACAGTACAATTAAAAATTGGAAGTACCATATTATTTGTACTGTATTTTTGACAGCTAATATTAGTGCGTATGTGTAAGTGTGCACATATGCAGAAAGAAGAAAGAATAAGTACATATTTTTTTATATTTATGCATTTATTGCTGTTTTCCTGCCACACAAAACTTAAATTTATTTCAAGCGAAATTAAGTGAAATTATAACTAAAATTAATCATTCTAATTAAATAAAATAAAAAATTGTTAGAATATTTTACACAACATATGTAATAAGCCAAAATGTGGTACAAAAGAAAATTGATCTCTTGCCGCTGTTGAAATCATCAAAATAAAAAAAAAAAGGAAAATGGAACAAAATTTTTTTTTTCTTTTTAAATTATAAAAAACCATAAATAATATTATTTTTATTATCTTAATTATGTTTGTTATAGGTAAGTAAATTTTTTATAATAAACATTAAAATATTTAATATAACATACGGTAAAATTTTCTCCATATACAGCAGCATGCAAGTAATTCATAACCGCATTGGCACTACCAAAAACAAAAGAAATACATTTTTAATCAATGTTCAAACCCAGAAGTGTGCTTTAGAGTGCCACTCAGGAAACTCAGGCCATTTTTTTAATAATTTAAAAATATCAACAAAAAGCAATACTGCCCTATAAAAAAAGCACATTTACTTATAAAACTTCCCACTATGGGAAACTGCCTAAAATGCTTCCAATCGTCCTCCGAGCAAACAAGTGCTCCTGGAACAATAGGCTCATCCACTGCACCCACTTGCCAAAACACTAGCCTAGAATCTCGATATGGAGGTGTAAGCTCAACTTCACATGAACGCAATATTTACATTGACATCCCTCGAGGTAAATCATTGAAAACTATATATAAAAAGTTTTTATATATTTTATTTTTATAATACTTTTATATATTTGCTTAGAAACAGATGAATTGCTCTCTCCAAGAAGTCCACTGAAAAATGCAAACAATTGTGATAATAAGCGAAGTAGTTTTAAGAAACCTGTAGTTATGTTAAATGGAAACGCCAACGCGATGGGTGATATAAAAACAACAGGTATTTATTTATTTATATATATATAACCAATATCATAGCTAAATTGTGATAAAAACAATTTAATTTATATACATAAATTTATTTAGAATTTATAGATTTATGTATTAAGTAAGATTAATTTAGTATTTAGACAGGTTCATTTTTAATATATATATATATTTTCCGTCGTTCTTATCACTTTAATTTTGTTTTCAATATAGTTTTCTAAAATTAGTCTCATTTCTCTTAAAATGTTCTAATCTTTGTAAGGAAAACGAAATTATACTGAATTTGCAAGGAACACCTTCCTCTTTACGAGAAACACTCTGTTAAGTGGTTCTCTGCATATATCGTGATATGTGTAGTACGCTGTTGTCATTTCTCTGTCAATTGTCCGAAGACCTAATGCAAGTATATTTTTAATATAAACATTGGGTGTAATATTGGCTCTTATGATATTACGGGTTAGCGTTATTTATACGCAGAGCAGAAGGATCCAAAAAATGACCGCAGTGCAGCCAAAAGCTGACAGGCAGCATACAAACAAAGCTGAAAGGCACGATTCTTCCATCCAAGTGAAAGTGATCCAATCTGTTGTTTATAAACTTGGCTATTGGGTTATATTAAAACAATCCAAATATCAAATGATCCAAAGTAACGAATTATCCAATATTAATAATGTACGTCCATAAAGACTTAGAAACCATAAATAGTCATTATTTATGTTTTTTCGCCTAAACATACCTGCTGGTGTTGTCTATATTAAAACGAGTATATATCACTTGATCGTCTGTGTAAACGAGCGGTTTAGTTATGTCAAACTGACCGCTCCTTACTGACCACGACTTATTGTTTTATTTTAACAAAAAAATTCAAACTATTAATTATTATTGATGGGAAAACTACACAATGTTTCTCCAGCACGTTAATATTATTGGAGAATTTATTTGTAGATCTGTTTTTAACAGAACTGAAACCCAAAATATTATAAAAGTGTCAATGACCGACCTATATTTTATACTATATCTCTCTTCAAATTTTTTTCTTTTCAAAAATAAGTCAAATGTTAAATAATATATTCAGTGATTATTATTTCTTACAGTTTACAGTTAATAAAATCTATGGTTATTATTAGTAGTTAGTTTAATAAAATATTTGAAAGAGATCTTTATGTTGAGATCTGTAAGCACTTTGATCCCATTTAAGTAGAAAACAAATCTATCGAACTCATTAAAAGGCTGTGTGAAGTATGTGTGATTAGTATATAATGTTAGAGTTAAGATAAAACTGAATATATATCACTGAATTGAAACTCCTATTAATATGTGAGAAGAAACTATTAAATAGAATAATTGGATCATGTAGTGTAGAATTGCTGTTAGAACTTAAACATATATATTTATAACAGCAATAATAACGTTGGGTCTATTACGAAAGTGTTTGACTTAAACGATCGTAGTCAATACAGTTCTCAGCAAAAAAAAAACGAAAATAAAACAACAGTTCAATTATTTTTGTGATCAATTTGAATAGTGTAGTAGAAAAAATAGGTAGACTTATTTTGTGTATAATTTCTTACTTGTTATTATAATCAGGGACTTTTTTGGAAAAAAAAGAAGGAAAGAGAAGTCTTAATCTTCAAAACAAAAATAAGAATGTAATTCTTAACACAAAAAATGTTGTCCATTTACCATAGTCAGTAACACCCTTGAAGAGAAGCTGAAGATTTAGAAAGACACAATTGTAGATTTATATTTTCAAAGGAACTTAAGCATTATGTGCAGCCTTGTCTACTTGTGAAAAAACAGTCTAATTTGACACGCCCGAGTTCTAAGCCTAGTACTTCCAGTCCAAACAAATTATATACAGACTATAAACTAATTAAATAAAAATTCTAATATTTCCTAACACCACTGATGATGAATACTTGCCAATACTCGAAACAGCGTTGTGTGGTTAGCCAAATTTAAATAAATTAACTAAATTTTTGTACTTGTTTTTTCTTTGCTATTCGAATCCTTCTAACTTTTAAAAATAGCTTCTTTGTATAAGAAGCGTAGCTTTCGCCAAAAATAATTAACTTTAAAAATATATCTTTTTTCTACATACAATATCCATGATTGTCCATTACGATATATAAATTATGACTTTACCTCTCTCAGTATAGTCCTGGAACTTTCAAATGTAAAGCAACTTAAAAACAATCAATAATCAAACCTAACTGAGAAATAATTGTAGGAAAGTACTTTATGCACTTAGAATTGACAAGTGACTATTGAACTCAAAAATAAATATGTTTGTTTTTAATATATGATAATAAAGTTAACAGTAATTTGAAGAATTTTCTCATTGTATTATTATATATTAACAATCACAACAATCATACTTCAATTTTTTTCAACGCAGAGGTCTGTCAATTTTGTGAAATGGATATCAAAAGCTCAAAGTATATAATTTGCGATTGTGTTCTTTACCACTTAGGTGGTATTATTATGCTATAAAATATATGAATAATAAATTCCAATATCCTACAATATTTATAAAACATACAGAATAAAAACTCAAAACTCTGTACAATAGATTTTGTTAGGACGATGTGCATCTTGAGTTTTAATAATAAAAATATCTTGTAACGTTTATTACTTCCTTGGATTATTACCCAAATTATTGTTAGGAAGAGTAATTGTAGTCCTGTTAAAGTTATATACTATACTATGAGAGATTATAGTGAGAGATTATAGTTCAAACGAATAAAAAAGCTATATCGTTATTATAAATAATAATTGATTTATTATATATAAAATAACGCAATATTTATTTAGTAGTATATTATTTATTAAATAATAAATGCTTTAATAAATTTTACTTAAATTTATACGGAACGTAATAAATAAACAACAGTATGTGTCATGCAAACATGACACAGGTTTTTCATGATAATTATTTTCTATATATAGCAATGTATGCTGATATATGATGATTTATTACTAATTTAAAAAAATATTAAATAATGTTATTTTATTTTGTTTTGATTTTAGTAAAAGAATCCCTTGAGGTTTCTGATAATACTCTCAACCAATTATTTGAAAAGTATAAAGATCCCGAAGAAGATATGATATTATCAGAAGGCATTGAACGTCTTTGCCGCGACCTTGACTATTTACCAGATGAGTTTGCAATACTCGTTTTAGCGTGGTGCTTAGATGCTTCCCAAATGTGCCGATTTACGAAAGTAGAATTCATTGAAGGATTGCACAAAATGCGTGCAGACACAATAGAAACCATACATATAAGACTGGAGCAAACAATTGAAATGCTCAAAGTAGATGCTGAAATGTTTAAGCAACTTTATCGATTCACATTTCGGTAAATTACTGTTTTTGGAATATATGTATATAAATAATTCTAATTATATATTTTCTAAAATATTTACAGTTTTGGCTTAGAACCAGATCAGCGTATACTATCTCTTGATATGGCAATATCATTATGGAAACTAGTATTTACAGTATTTACACCAGATCTCCTTAGTAATTGGATACACTTTTTAGAACAGCATCCTAGCATACGTGGCATACCGAAGGATACATGGAATATGTTTTTGAACTTTTCTGAACAATGTGATATATATAATTACGATGATACAGAAGCTTGGCCAAGTTTATTTGATGATTTTGTTGATTACGAGAAATCACGTTTGGAAACTATTAAAGAACAGCAAACAACGCATGATGATGATAACAACAACGATGAACAACAATCGCATCAAAAAATAATTGCTGGCATAGAAACTTCATAGTACTAAAATTGTAAAAATTATAATCAATCTGAATTATGTATAAGTATAAATGCGTATGTATATATATAGATATTTACCTATATATTATATATATAAATATATATAAGCATATATATTTATATATGAAATTGTTTATATAACAATTTTATATATTATATGTATATATAAACATATTTATATACTATATATATACATATATATTATACATATATACTATACTATATCTATACATATATATCACACTATATATATATACATATATTATCAAACGTAGTTCTCCGTATTACTACGAATTCATTGTGAAATCATGCGACGCGTACTTCATGTACTTCATACCATAAAGACGAAATATCAAACCTTTTATTCTATTGTGTACAAAATTATTGTAATTTATTTAATAATTATTTCACATTCGATTTATATCAATTTTTATTATATGATTTATATATTGTATGTTTTTAAGTTATTTCTTTCAATCAATATGTTTAATTAATGATTAATTTTATGTTTTTGTTTAAATTTATTATTTAAATGTTTGATACAATTAAATTTCAAAAAAATTCAAAATTCGTGCAAAATGTAAAAACAGTACGGGTACTGTCTAATTATTAAACTATCATTTTATTTATAACTACAATTTTTCGCTTATAAAATAATTTAAAAAAAAGTTTATAAACATTTAAATATTATAACGCTCAAGTGATTTAGCCGATTGTACATAAAATTATATATACAAACAGAAGAGAACATTTATTTTATTTAATCATTATTGAAATATTAGATTAAAGCATATATTTTTAATTTGAATATCATAAGCATTTCGCATTTGACATTTTAACCTAAATTTATTTTAACTTAATCATTCTTTAATGTAAGTAGTCGATGTGAATTGATTTGTATAATATACATACATATATACAATTCTATTATAATTAAACAAATGCATTTTTTAACATTGTGCTAATAAAAAAATTTACATTTATTTACAAGTGTTTATAATTTGTTAGAATAATTTAAAAAATTATGGTTAGCAACTGCACGTGCTACGTAAATGTAGTTATTAAAACTTTTCTTTTTCTATTTGATATAATTATTTGATGTTGATTGTTTATATGATTATATGAGCTATGTTCACGCATGTTTTAACACCTACTTTTACCAAATATAAAACCAATTCTAAAAGCCTTAAAACAACTTTTAAGAACTGCGTTAGAAAGGTGATAATCCATTAATAAAATAGATAAAGAAATGCTGCATAGAAAACTTCAAAAATGCATCATTTTTCGACTGAAATATATAATATAAATACATCCATATGAAATGTGGAATATATTTTTCTATAATTCTTACTTAGTATTGATCATCAATATATCCATATTTCTTTGTTTAAGAAAACACCAACTAAGCTCAGCTAACAGATGCCATTTTTAGTCGAGCTCTTCTAGTTAAAAAGATACAAAAATATGGCTCTATTATACAAATTTCTTTCCTCGATCTATGTCATACTCTACTTTTCTAAAAACTATGCTTCTATATGCTTCTTCCTTTATGCGAGTGTTTAAAAAAATCAGCAACTAGCTAAGTGATAATACCTAATTCACCTAATTCTTATCTAATTTACCCTACTCGAAATTCTGGTAAATACCAACATTTGCTGCCATTCCGACATAATTTACTATTTCCCTTAATTTACCCAAACTCGCACACGACCTACATATTCAATTAATAAAAACAAAGATTTTATGAAATACTTCCTTAGTGCCTTTGTTTACAGCTCAGCTGTTTGTTTACATTTTATATATAAAAGATATGACACATATATTTCCCTTTAGGGGAAATTTATTTTTAAATGTTGCATTCGACATTTTTCCTCTTAAATCAGCTGATTTATTGATAATAAGCTCATTTTTGTATGGTAAAACATTCTCTTTAGTGGTTATAAAGAGCAAAACCGCCTAAATTAAACAGTGTGAATGTGCTATTAGATTACTATATTATGAAACTTTTGTGGTTTTGACATGAACGAACTAAAAATGGCAATTTATTTGATAATAGTAATTAATTTAAAAACAAATTGTGATTTAAAAATCTACGGTAAGTTGACTAAGGCGTAATATTTTTGATTATAATTCTTTTATTAAAAATTTAGTTCGTACAATAAATTTTTGTCAATATTTTTTAATATTAGAATTGACTTTCAAAAACATGTTATTGTTTTTGTAATATGCCTTTAAATATATTTATAAATATATGTATATATTCAGGTGAAGTAACAAATTTCTATGTCCAACGGAAAAATTCAAAATTCATTGAACAATTTTTTGAGGTCCACCTTTAAAATTTCATACTGGCAGTGCTGCAAAAATTTTTGACATTCTGAAAATCACAAAAATAACAAAACGGATGGAGAACACTTCGGTTGTGAAGAATAGGATAGAGTTTATGGTTTAAAATACAATTAATAATCGCTGATAAAAAATTGATTAAACTTATGTGATAAAGGTTTATATTTTTAATATTAATATACCATGACATTAATTGATTAAGAATTCAAGTGTGAATCATAAGTTGACAGCACTGACGGAAGAAGATTCAGGAAATCAATAAAAAAGAATTTTGCAAAAACAAAAACTATTGCAATTTATTAGATTAATAACTAGAAATGCCCTGTGAAGGTTGTAGTGCACAATTTTCGGTATTTCGCCGTAAACGAAGTTGTATTGACTGCAAGTATGTCCTATTCATGTATATAAGTTTGAAGTTCATTACTAATCATTCATTTGTTTATAGACGTTTTTATTGTAGTAACTGCCTATCAGGTTCCAAGCGTGCATCACCACATGCAATTGGACGATGCAAGCGTTGTACCATATTTGCAAAACGTCCACTATTGAAATCGGACCTACTGACATTAAAACCAAAAGATTTAATTTTTTACTTACAGTCAAAGCACATATCGACAGCAGGATGCGTCGGTAAATATATAAATTGCATACAATATATTTGATATTGTCAATTGTTTGTCTTTCTTTAGAAAAAGATGAATTAGTTAGACTGGTCTTACATCATGTGCAACAAAGTGATGCTACAAACACGGGCAATAATTCTTATAATGCAAGGCCCAGTTCAGAATCTACTCCTTCTTTTGATAACATAAAACAAACGTGCCAAAATTTCTTTAGTAATTTAACTGATAATATAACAGAATCTTTTAGTTCCTTTGATAGTGGTAAAAATTCGAAAACAAACAATAACCCAAATCCTTCTGGTAGTAACGCTCAAACGCACATATTTGACCAACCAAGAGTTTCTACTAGAGAAATACCCACATATGCTAGTTCTCAACAAAATAATACATTTTCAACACCATCACCTCAACATTCAAATACAGAACAAAGTTCTGTAAGAAATCAACGAAACTTGCCTACAGATCCAGTAAGAGAAGAACAGACAACTAGTACATTTTCAAATGCATCCGGAAGCACAGATACAACTACGCAAAGCAGTCAAACAAATAGTACTAGCTCTATTGCATCAAATCCAACTTCTGCAAGCACTGGAAGCGCTCAAAATCATAATAATGTAGTTCAAAGTACTGATCAGCGAAATATACAAGTGCAGATACAATCAGATTGTGAATGTTCTGATGATGATGATAATGATGAGGACGACGACGACGATAATGAGGATGAGGATGGCAATGAAAATGACAATGATGATGACGAATTAGTTACTACATTCAGTGAACGTTTGTCAAATAAAAGTGAAAATTCAACGCAACTACAAAATACAAATTGCACTCAAAAAATAGTAGAAAAATTGAATATTTCGTTACCTGAAGTAGAATATGCACATGGTGTTAAGTTGGAGAATTTATGCGAAGCAGATGATTCTTCACAATCATCCTTTGAAGAATTAGGTGCAATTGGCGGTATTTCAGATGACAGCAAAGCAGCTACTGATACAAATAGTAGTCATTTGGAACAATGGCAAATTTTGGATGGTCAACGTCTAAACACATCAGCAGAAGAACCAACTAGAAGCGATGCTGAAGTGCAAGATTCAAGTACAATTCCTACAGTGCCCATTGACAAATCTCAACAACCAAAAGCACCACAACGAACGAAAAAAGTCGCACGACGCCGATCAGACACATATTTAAATCAACGAACAACCAGTGGTGAAGTTGTGTCATGTCCTAGTAATGAGGATAATGAAAGTAATTTATTTAATTTGCATAATACACGAACTAAATGCAAACGTTGCGGTAAGACAAAATCAAATATTAGACGTCAAATAGCAAAAATGCGTCGGCATCTTGAAAGTGCACAACTGTCTGAAGATGAAATTAAAGACGAACTGAAAAAATTTCTATCCTATCTTGAAGCACGGACAAAGTCTGTAGATTACTCGGATTCTGAGCCTGCTACTTCGCCTGCTAGTACTGGTTTAACAGCAGCTGAAAGAATAGGAGCTCAATTTTTGGAAGATCTATTTGCAATGCCTCATCTGCATGATCACTACGATAATTCTGATTACAATAGTCCTAAAAGATCACGTTTCATTAATTTAGAGGAATATGGTACACTGTAAGTATTCAAACTGTTTAAGTTCTCAATATATCTATTACATTTAAGTCCTTTTAATAATATTAAATAGGTGCAAGTAGTATTGGCTTTAGTTTATTTTATAACATTTTATTTATATTTGATTTTAATTGAAGAGATTAAAAAAAAAATTTTTATTTTTATTTATAACTTTTAATTAGATCGTTGTTTTGAACGAATGGGACCTGCATAGAATTAATAGATTATAAGATGTATACATGCGTTATTATGGTGTATGGAAGGATAAACGTAAGGAGGTTATGTGGGATTAGTTAGGGTAGGTTATTATGACAATACGAGGGAATTTGTGTTGCCACATAACTCTTGGACAGCTTAAAACTATTTTGAACATATAATGAAAATATAATTATTTAATACTTAAATTAAAATAAATATTTCTATCAATTATAAAGTTGTTGCGACAAAAGGCAAAGATTGTTCTTGACCCTTTTAAGAAAACTGTCCACCAGAAGAGAGGTAAACTTCATTTAAATAAGTTAAAAAGGGATATCTATTTAATAGCGATAACTAGTTAATTGGATTGTCTATTCTCCAAGTATATTCTAACAACTAGGATATCCATTCAATAAAGATTTATTTTTAACTTGAAGTCACTACCGTCAGTGATTATTTTACTTAATATGAACTGTCTTATTTAATAGAGAGGTTTCAAAAAGTAGTGCATTACAACAACAAAAATTATTTTTATATTGTTTTAATTAATTAAATTTTTGGCTAACCATACAGCTGTTTCAAGTATTACCAAATACAAAAAACTCCAAGTTTGAACATACAAGTCAAGTTCGGCTTTGAATCAGTTGGCTAATGAACACTGACTCTGAGCTTCAAATTTGACAGGGCACGAGTTTAATTCCTGGTATTTGCAGTCTCAAAAAAAAAAAATTATTTACGAATAATTAAATATAAGAAATAATTGCAAGAGCACTGATGATGGGTATTTCGCAATATTCGAAATAGTTGTATGGTCAGCCAAAACTCAATTAATTAAAATAGTATAATAAAAATTTTTTGTTGTTGTGGTTTATTTCCATTTGAAATCTGTTTAATATAAGTTTTTTATATAAAGTAATTATTGAATAAATTCCAGCTGAAGCACTTTGTCGCCTTTGTTGTATATATAGCCATATTATTTAATTTACAGTTGGAATAAATAAAATGAAACAAATATAATAAATTTTTAACTTATACTGTTGTATTTAATTTGTTATATTTCAGAAAAGACTTAGAATGTCTTTCAGTGAAGCAGCTTAAGGAAGTCCTTATGTTACACCGTGTGGACTACAAGGGTTGCTGTGAAAAACAAGAATTGCTGGAACGTGTAGAACGCTTATGGAAAAATCTCAAATCATCGCCTGGTATATACTTATTATTTTAAAATATTACTTTTTGAATAAAAATTTACTTTTTTCTGTTTTTTAGCGGTTGAAAAATTGCCAACGGATGAATTGTGTAAAATATGCATGGATGCACCAATTGAGTGCGTTATTTTGGAATGTGGTCATATGGCCACATGTACTAATTGTGGCAAAGTTTTAAGTGAATGCCCTATTTGCAGACAATATATAGTACGTGTAGTACGATTCTTTCGTGCTTAAGGTAACATTATTAAATTTTTAAAATTAAAAATTCAAAATTAAATTCCGACTGGATTTCTTTGAGATAATTTCAAATAAGAAACAATAATAATTTATAAAATAGTAATCAGCACGAAATTTAAGTAATTATTTTTTTGTAAAGTGTATATTATAAATAACTTTGTGATTATCTGAACTTAAATAGAGAACAACTAATGACATTAGAATTTGCTGTTTAAATAGCAAAAGTAATCAAGTTAAACTGTATTTTAGATATTGAAAATATTAAAGCATATTTATATAGATTTGTATACTAGTTTCTGTGTACTCAAAAATACTTCAAATGAATTCTTTAAATATATTTTCAAATTTACTTATATGTTTGATAGAATAAACAAAAATATATTAATGTGTACAAATATACAAAAAATAAATAAATATGTAACAACTATATATATACATATATACATTATGTATATGTATACAAATTGATTTGAAGAAAATTTTAACAAATAAATTGATTTAAATATCCATATAATGGAAACAATTTATGTATATTGTTTGGCAATTAACCTTTCTTGCTTACTGTTATAATTAACTGTCATTCCAGTTAAATTATTTATTATATTCAAAGAATTTGTGTAATCTGTTACAATTTAATTACAATATATTAACATTTATTAGATTAATATAGAGATTTATTAAAAATTATATTTAAATATATAACTTTCATTTTAACTTACAATAAATGACGTCAATATATATTTTAAATAACTAAAACGTATCAGGCGTAAAATCACAAGTAATCCTCGTGTTTACATTAAGTCAACAAAGAAGCGACAATAAATGACTTGTCATATTAATGACATATATGATAAGATTCGTGAATCATTTCCATCGGAATTATGTCTTTGTTTTGTCTTTAACTATATGAGCTATTAGATAAGTCTATTGAGATATATAACACTTGTAAATTTTATTAAGTAATATAATTGTGTAACTATCATTATTACTAGTATTATGAATGGATGTGTAAGTTACTATTTAACTTCGGAATCGTATAGTTTTTTTTTAGTTCCTGCAAATATTTCGAAGTTTCTATATCCTAACCGAAGCCGTCACAATTATTAATTTAAAAAAAAAATCAATTAAATTGATTTCGCTTTTTAAAAAAAAACTCAAAAAATAATAAATAAATTTGCCTTTTACAATCTTTATATTATACTTTTAATTTTCTACCTTTCAAGGCCCTTTATGTGGCTATATATTTTCTATGCGTAAACAAAGCGTACATTCTGCTTTTTATTTTAAAAAGCAAAAATAATTATTATTCTTGCATTATTTTTTCCAAGGCAAACATGATATGTTTTGTATACAACTTATTTCTGAAAAGCGAATATAAGCCGCACATTGGTCAAAATAAAACTCGCTTTGGGTATTTGGTGGTTGCTGGTGTAATATAAGGCAAATTTGATTTTTTTTAAAAGTCAACCATTATGAAAAACTTTTTTTCTTAATAGAAATATTTAAGAAAATTTTTTTTTATAGAAACTATTTCGTAATGGAAAGTATTTCCTTAATAGAAAGTATTTTGTTAATAGAAATTATTTCTTATTAGAAAATATTTTTTTTAATAGGAGCTATATTCTTAATAGAAATTATTTTCTTAATAGCAACTATTTTCTTAATAGAAACTATATTTTTAATAGAAAGTATTTTCTTAATAGAAATTATTTTCTTAATAGAAACTATTTTTTTAATAGAAAGTATTTTCTTAATAGAAACTATTTTTTAATAGAAAAATTTTTGACTATTTGCAAATACCCATTATCAGGTCTTTTGGAAATATTTCTTATGTGTTATTATTTATTATATATATTATGTATTATTATATATTATATACCTTGTTGAAACGGCACCCAGTCAAATTATATTAAGGCAAATTTACAATTTATTGTTTGAATTCTATTTTAAAAGGCAAATATATTTAAATCATGCATTATATGAAGAATGAATATTGTTATAATGATAACTATGTACTTATGCACAATTTTCTATAATGCAAGACATACAACTTTTCTCTGTTATTATATCATCGATCTGATTCAGTTAGTCCACATGATTGTTGTGGATTGTGGATTTAATGTGTTGTGAATATCTTTTAACAGATTGACCAGCTATATTACTTTCAGACTTTTGCATAACAATTTCCGTATGAAAGTAAAACTGTCATATGTATTAATTATAGGCATAAGAGTGTCCATCGTCGAAGAGGGCGTTTTTGCTTTTGTGTGGTATAATTTAACAAGGCAATATTTTAGAATTTAATTTGTAAGTAGGCTTATGGCTCCGTTGTAAAATATGCATTAGTAGCAGTAGTTCAATACGCTTGACATATGATTTTTTGTAATTTTAATGTTGGGAGTGCATTTATTTAATTTATCCTGAGAAGATTTCTCTGTATATTCAAATAAGATGTTTCTTGCAGTATATTTCAGTAAGTTTTTCTATAACGAGTTTGCAGTCACTTAACATTTTTTCATCATATCATTGCAATCTAATAACGAATTAAATCATCATATTATTATAACTTTTAGTCGTAAATGCATACAGGTATACCATGGTGGCACTTGTGTATGATTTCAGGGTATAAATTCAAGATATTACCCTGGAGCCTAAGAAAGGTTTTTAATTAGATCTTTATAATTAGGCCATGTTATTTATCCACTTAACTGGTCTGAGTTGCTATCATGTTTAATTTATCCAAATTTTGTTTATAAATAAATTAAATTGAGTTCACATTTTAAGATTTGTAATATTTAACCGTTATTGTAGTAACATTAAACCATCGGTAACCGAGGTAAAGTTTTATTCAAAGGTAGTTGCCACGTCGTTTGTAGTGGATAGATATGAGATTTTTTCACGGAACTAATTTTTATAATTTTAGTTTGTATCTTTTCATAATTTTGAATTTAATATAGACAGGACTAGGGTGCTCCTGCCGTCCATATGTCCATACAGAATTAGAATAGTATACAAACTAAATTCGTTTTTATTGTCTTTGAAAATAAAGTACACATCATAAATTGCATGAGGTAGGTAGTTTCTACTTTCTTTGTTAGTAAATCACGTAACAAATAATGTAAGTAACTGTGTTAAGGCATATAAAATCTGTATTAATCCAGAAGTTTAAGTAAAATTTAAAACTATATAAAATCGGTACACATAATTTACAAATTTGAAAATTTATTTTGAAATTAGTTTTGGCTAGTGTCTATAGTAGTGATTGCTGTTATTTATACTAAATAAGAGTATATGAAGAAAAAACTATAGAAATTCTTCTATTTTTCTATTTTAATAGTTAATAGTTGTAGGTCCAAATAATCATTGTTTATAACAAACCAAACTATTTAATGAAAGAATTATTTGTTAGGATTTCAGTAACAAATCACGATCAATGCTCAAGTTTACCATAAATGCACTTCTATAAATTTGTTATATTCCACACAGTGCATATAGGCATATTAATAGTATCCATCTACAATCCGTTCCTTTTTCATTATTTCTCTCCTCTATCAACAATCATGACCCATTCACATCCTAACCCATATATTTGACTTGCGAAACATTTCATATTATCTGCTTTTAGGTCCCTACAGTCTACAACAACATATTAATAATCTTCTTTATTTCTTAAATGGATATCATCTTTTAATATATAAAGACAAAATTCTTATTTAATTACAGTCTTTTTTATTCAATTTCTTTCGAAACGTACGATAGGCTTACACATAAATTGAGAGTTTTAAAATAATTTTTTATAAAATGACTAGAATCAACATGATTCATTTAAAATGAACAAATGATTAATTATTTGCGATTGATAACTCTTAAATCGAGTGGTGCATCTATATCCATATTCATATGATGATTACTTTCTCTCTGCATCGCAGGGTAAGAGCTGTGATATGCAACTTCAATGTTACGGCAGCGATTATCTGTAATCCAATATGGTATGCTATTCGGATGAGCATCATCATAATAGGAATCATATTGTGATGCTTTTAAATGGCATATATCTTCCTCTGCAATACCCATATAATAATTCGTTGTAGGTGAATTACATAGATATGTTGAAGCTTGTGTTTCGTATTTATGAAGATAATGGTGGGTTATTGGTGAACTAGTATTTGTAGGCTCAGAATGAATAGTTTGTATAGCTGGTGGAGATGGATTACTTTGTGTACGAAAACTGGAATTATCATCAATTATTTGTAAAGCATGTTTAAATGTTTTAACATGTTTGCGTAAAGATGATGGATCGGTGTAACGTTTCTGGCAGCCAGGTACTTTACACATGTAAGGCTAAAAAAGAAATTGAAAATATAGGAAAATTAGTCTATATATTATGTACAGTTAAAATATATATTGAAAATTGTTTTATTTATTATTTAATAAATGTTATACACTTAAAAGTTCTTAAGATCATGAGCGATGTTAAAGTTTCGGCAAAATAAAAATACACTCGATGCCCTAAATATATTTTATTCTATCTACATTAAACTGGAAAAACTTATGTATTTATATTTACCTTTTCCATAGAATGAGTACGCGTGTGTTTAAATCTATCTGATGAGTTGGAATATGCTTTTTGGCAACCCTCAAAAGTGCATATATACGGTTTTTCACCCGAATGAGATCGTATGTGTATTTTAAGGTTTTCAGCTCTTGAAAATTTTTTCTCACAAAGATGGCACTGATGAGGTTTCTCTTTTGTATGCGTTCTGACATGTACTAACATTTTATAGCGCGCATTAAAGCCCCGATCTGTACGCAAACAACCTGACCATCGACAATAGTACAGGCCGTCATTAAGTGAAGCGACTGCATGCTCTTGTGTGACATGTGCAGCGAGTAGTTCCAAACTCTCAAAGATTCTGAAATTATAAAATTATATTGTTATTATTCATAGATTGTTTACATATATTAACTTAAAAAAAATTTGTTTAAAATAAAAGTGATCTACATAATGTTTTTAAGTGTTTAGTAGCTTAAAGGTTTTTAATTTTCTTATTTTATACAAACATTTTATTTTAATAGTTTAAAAATGGATTTTAATTATATTTAAAATATTTATATATTCTACTAATATTGTCCCAAAAATTATATTAAGTATTAAAACTCATATAAATTTTGGGCTCGTTATGATAACATGAATATATACATATATTTTTATAATTTGGTCAATTGGTCAATACTTATTTATATTATTTGTGTAGATAAACGTTAGTAAAAATAAACTTATTAAATGTATAAAAATAATAAATTTTACTTTCATACCTCACATGTTTTCTGATTCAGCACTTATTTCTCTTCCTATTCTGCACTTTATAACCATTTATGATAAGAATAATTATTATTGATAGTCTTAAACTATTGTGTGTTAGATGTACTTACGTGAATCATAATATATAATTTTAGCAAGTTTATTTAAGTTTCTATAACGTTGATTTCCAGTTAACAACAAAATGGATTAAAATATTATTTTTTTAATATTATTTTAAAAATAAATATTAAACCTTCCCCCAAAAAATTAACTTTAATAGTACTAAATTGAGATCAAGCTAAATAATAGGTGTTTTTGGAAAACGATAAACTCATATTTCTATAAAATTTTTACTTTGTTAAAATATTTTTTAGTTAGAAGCTATCTCTAAAGAATTTCAGTCATTGAAGCGATTGATACAAAGTTAGGATATAGTGACCTATTAAGTAATTACTTACTACGTATAATCCTATCTAACGTATGGCCAAATTCAGTCTCTACTCTCATGCTAAGTGTCTGCGTAAACATAACTTCAGTTGTTGCTGAAGAGGGTCGGAAAACGAGTATGTCCCTAATGTGTGGTCAAATTCAATCTCTACTCTTATGCTAAGAGACTGTCTGTAAAGGAATTCAGTCATTTATATAAAGGGTAGGACAAAACTTTTAACAATATTTGAGAAGAAAAAGAATTTAATAAATTAAATTAATTTAAACTTAGTTTATACTGGCATATTCAAAGAAGCAAAGAGTCCTTCTATAAAGAATTTTGGACCAGACATCAGTTCTCGACATTAGTGAATTTCAACCTCTACTCTTATACTAAGAGGTGGTCTATAAAGAGCTTCAGTATTTGATAAATTGAGTCAGATAAGTTTTGACAATATTTGTCTAAAAAAAAATTTTAATAAACAAAATTGATATAAGATTAGGGTATAGTGACGTACTAAGCAGTAACTTATAACCTATAAACCCGTCTATACCTAAACGGTGGTCAAATTAAAGCACTCATAGCATTGTCTACTTGTTTAAATATTTCAAATATTCTTAAAAATTTTAGCTCAATTGATCTCCAGCTCCATCCGATTCAGGCGTTAAGGTTCTTGAGACATTGTACGGGTCAGTTAATATCTACCCAAAAATAAATTAAATAATCAGTAACATAAATGCTAAAATTAGCAAGAGTCCAATTTTAGCAATTCATGGTTGTTGATGGTGTTGAACTTTCATACTGAACCTAATGCCCTTTGAAATTTAAATTTAACAAGTTAACAATATTTGGTTATCGCTAAACAACAATAAGTGTACGTGTAGGCCTTCTATGGGTGGTGCGGAAATTATATAATATAAATAATGATTATAAATAAAAAAAATACCAGTCATTGTTTTCATTGAACGTTACCCTTTGTACATGCAATGAAAACACACAAAAATGCTTTATCTTTAATACTATCTATTATATATGAATTATAATGATATGATTTATTATAATCATAATATAAATAATACAGTGATATTTAACAAAACAAAATATTTATTAAAATATATAAAATAATATAACGAAGTTTATATATATTATATTGTAATTTGATTGCATCATAATATATATAATTTTTTATTATCTTTTAAATGAAAACTTTTAGGTATATTTAGATGGTATTAATAAAATTATAATATTGTTAAAAAATACATGATTAAATTAAACAAAAATCATATTTTAATTATTTTTATTTATATCACAAAAAATTCATAATAAAAAAATATTATGTCCTTATATTATATTGTTCTTATTATAAATTATGAAAATGAAAAAAATTATATAAAAATATGTATTTCATTATATTATTTTTTTATTAAAATTGATTTTAATCGGACTTTTTGATATAAAACAAATTAAATATATAATAAAAATAATTTTTAAAATTTATAACAAATTACAAATATTTCATTTGTAGATCACAGTACATCTCTGATTTCTATATAAACTATAAATTGATTTTAACGTTCGATTTGACGAAAGAACAAAGTTTTTAATATAAATATATTGTTTTCAATAGAGATATATTTTAATAGTATTAAATTATAATAATTAATTTTTATTGTTTTAATAATTAATTGAATTTTCGCTAACTATATATAAAATATATAAATTTTATTTCTTCAGGCATAACAAAAAGTTAGTTAAATATTATAAAAGAGACAGTTCGGAAAAAGTTCAAAGGTTGAAAAGAGAGAACTTACGATCAAAAAGAAAAGCATACGAACTCAAAATATATCAAGAAAGAGAAACATTCAATGAAAACAAAACATACGGTGAACTAGAAAAAGTTAAAAGAGAGGAAAAATTTTATAAAGAATAAGCATACTTTGACAAAAAATTATACAAAAAAGGAGATACCATATGAAGAAAGAGCAAAAAGTACTGATTCGTAAAAAGAGACTGATTCGTACGAAAAAAGAGAAAACATGAAGAGACAAAATGGACTAAAAAGAGAGATGAAGAGCAAAAATGTGAATAGAGAAGGAGAAATAGTATGAAGGATATATTTTTTGTATATATTTTTAACGTTTTATTATATTATTTACTTTATTGTTATTAAAAGGCATAAGTTAGAAAGAAACAAAGTATTATTTAGGTTGGGGTTAAAATCGGTCATTATCTCTTTTAAAAGAGAAATTTATGTTAAATGATGCTGATTGGTTAGATTTGCCGCATAACTTATATGGTAAAGATCGGAACTAGAAATGGCATATTTAACAACTTTTATGTAGAAGTAAAAACACAAGACAAAAAATATTAATTTCACCAATCAAATGCAAAGATAGAAATTTAAAATGGAGAATAGAATACTAAAATGGAGTTTAATTTCATTTTAAAATAGAAATTTAAAATAGAGAATATAGTGTTAAAATGGAGCTTAATTTAATTTAATGGTAGAAATTTAAAATGGAGGATGAAATGTGGAAATGGAACTTAATTAAATTTGATCGAAACCTAAAATGGAGAAGAGAATGATGAAATGGAGTTTCTGATACATTTTGTGCTATATTATAATATTTCAGTATATAGTTTTTTTACTACTCATATTTGATTTTGTGTAATACCGAACGAATATATATGGTAGGTAAATTTAATTTTGGGGAAATTATCAGTCATAATTTAATCAATGATTTCTTAAAATTATATATTTTACAACAAGAATCCATTCAATCTATCATTCATCATTTTTCTCTTATACTATATCGGTGATATAGAAATGATAAAATTTGGATGTTATAGGGGTTCAGTATTTACTTTTGAAAAAATTTCTAATAGTTTTTCAAAAAACATTATTAGAAAATTATACGAACAGTTTTGACTACACACAAATTTATTTGATATCTAATAATATTACTCATACTTCTTCTTGAATAAAAATGGAATAGTTCGTTCCAGCAAAATATTGTAGGAAAAGAGGTAAACGGTAAGGACCTCTTACCTCAAAATATAAAATTCAGTACACTCAGTATATACTTATTACATTATATTCCTTAGTATATAATAAAAAAAATATTATTACATAAGTTTTTATAAATTATTGGAAGTTATTTCTCAAAATCAAATAACAATTATTAAAGTAATTATATTATTTAATGAATATGACGTACAATTTTGAAGTGCCTTATTAGATTGAATTCATATTTAATGCAGAGTAAAACTCTCATACTTCATACATATATATATATATATATATCAAAATATTAGCTAATACTGCTAAAAATTGTTAAAACAGCAGCGAAAATAAACAAAAGTGCTAGTTAACAGCAATAAAAACGTGCAATATAAGGCAAAGAAATGCGCCAATATGCTTTTTAAAAGAAACCCTATTTCAGTGGTAACTATTTATGCAAAGGAAAACTATTTAAGAGGAACTATTTATGATGTAATCGAAAAATAGACTTCAGAAGAAAAAGAATTAATGTAAGAAGTATATAACATTTTTGTAAAAGTTGCTTTAAGGTATTGAGGTTTTTATGACTGTGAAGGTTCTCGTATAAGTCCATATATTGCTATAATTACGACTGAAGGTTTTTTCGCATAAAAATTTCTTTGATATTCTATATTTAAGCAATTAATGATAATATAGTCTCCTATTATGCACTTTACTCTTTTTTTGAATTAAAGAGTTGTCTTAAGAGATTAAGTGGTGCTAAAGAGATATTTTGTTTAAATAAAAAATAACATAAATAAAAATAATATAAATAAAAATAATTATATAAATAAATATAGTAAAAATAAAATAAATAATATTGAAAACAATAAAAATAATAATAAGAATGATAATAGCAACAATTATAATTATATCAATTTGTGATTTACATCAAATTATATTGCTATATTATAAGAACCCTGTAGATGACTATGGATTATAGTTGAAATATTGGTTCAAATTTAATTTTTTAAAAAATAAAATATTTTTTTAAAAACTGTACTAGTTAACTTATTAACCGATTTAAATACAAAAGTATTATTAAAATATTTTTGGTCATTAAAACAATAAATTAATATATAAATAAATATCATAATAAAAAAATAATATATATATATATAACGTAATAATAATATACATATATGACGTAAAAGTCACGTCTGCATAAATTATGCATATTTATAAATTTATAAGTATGTAAATAAATTTATATAAGCGTATATATGTTCAACACGCGTATATGCAATATTTAATTTTTTTTTATTGGCTCAACATTAATAAACAATTTATTAAGCATAACTCAAATATAATAAAATAATGTCTCTCACATTATGCATATTTATAAATAAATTAGTGTGTAAATAAATATGTATATAAATATATATACTTATGTTAAACGCTTATATATGCAATATCTACATTTTTTTAAATAAACTTTTTAATAAACAATTTGAAAAGCATAACTCAAGTATAATAAAAAAATATATCTCTCACTGCCTTTTAATGGCTTATCATCTATGCGTTTCTATTTTATTTTTACAAAATAATATATAGTATTGAATAGGCTTACCTTTTACAGTGTAGCCAATTACAAACGAATTCATTATTCGATATATCTTGTTCGGTACTTTGTTCAGTATCCTCATTTGTGTCCATCGGGTTGGTATCCTTTACATGTCCGACCTTCATAATAACAGATTGAGTCCGTTGTTGTGTTGCTTCTTGTGGATGCGGTGAGAGTTTAACGGTTTTTGGTGGGGTATGTGGTGGTGTTGGAAATCTAATGTTATGCTGCATTTGGAAAGCTTCCTCCGTTTTTGTAAATATCGAATCAATCAAAGTTTGTTGGCTCAAAATATGCGGCGGAGAAGGATACATAAAGTATCTATTAGCCTCATAAGCACTAGTAGTAAAATACGAATTTTGAACTTCCATTTTTAATAGTCTTTTATTTATTTATTTATTTATTTAAATTATAATTTTTAATTGTCTTTTTTCTTTCTTTTGTATTTTATACAAATTATATAGATTTAAAATTGAATTAATTTGTTCAATATGAGAAAAGATAGTACGACGCGAACTTGTTCATGATTTCTCGACGACTGATTGTAAAACTTGTAGACGCTAGTGTAATATTGGCGAAAAAAAGTAGTGATAACGTTGCCTTATCAAATCCACTTTATCCGCAGACAGACCAAGGGTATCGCTGTGTAGAGAGAACTACCTTGCTGGGGTTGCCGATAATAGAATATATTTTAGAAATGAATTAATATAAAAAAATTACTCTTTTTGTTGCTTTTTTGGAACACTTTTACTCGTAACTATAAATTTTACTTAATATTCCAGTTTATTTTGCTTATCGCATGTTATCGTTTCGCTAATGAGGGAAATCACTACTGGAGGTAGTCACGACGAGTCATTTAACAGCAGATATTTGAGTTGGCCACAAGGGCGCAAGGTGTAGAGAGTGTATGCGAAAAAGATAAGAAACACGTTTCTAAACCTCTAAACCGCTAAACTGCTGTCTGCGTACTTTGTACTTTACCAATATTGCAGAACTCGTTTATGTGACAAAAATTGGTGTGTCAAAGTCAAAATTCATCTTGAAATATCTAATTAACATGCCATAATCACAATTTACGCATGGCTCTGTGCTTCGGTTCACGCAGAGAGGAGTGCAAAACTTTGTTAGTTTTCTGCAGTCGATCTACTGTAGACTTACTCGCACGAGGAGAGACTTTGATAAGACATTTATGGAACAACACAAGACTGCCGCATTGTTCCATGTTCTATTTTTGCGCAATCATTTATACCAGTAATTGGCTCACATGTTTCCATTTTTTACAATTTGATATTTTTTTCTTTTCTATTCAGAGAAATTTTTATACACTATTAGAAAAAAAAATCTTATCAGGTAGTCTGTGTTTACTTTTGTTTAAAATTAAAGTCCATACGTGTATATTTACAACGTACTCAGACGAAAATAATGGCTTAGTTAGGAAGTGACACTTTAAAATTAGAAAAGTTTTTTTTTAAATTTTATAATTCTTATTTGATTAACATTCTTTCGAGTGCTTCAACTCATATAAAATATAATCGCTATATGCTTATTTTATAAATGCTATATATAGAAGTTTGTTTAAATACTAATTCGCGTACGTAACTTGTACGTATAAAATCCATGTTTCTATATCCGAGACGATCATATATTTGAAGTAATGCAAAGTCAACATTGCCCAAAGTGTGTAATAGTGATGTTTTGGTTATAAATTTAAGGTTTTACCCATTTTTAATTATACATCAAAGTCTCTATTTCAGTAAAAGCCGACTATTAACTAAAAAGTTAAGAGTATTTCCATTTCTTAATTATTAATTAATTATGTTTCACTAAAAGCCGAACAACTATTATATATATATGGTGGGACATTGGGACAGCGCACTGTCCAACAAGTGGCCCCACTGAAGTGAAGGATTAGTCGAAGTAGACCACGAAACTACTTGGGTCCTTTTTCGTCCATTGATTCTCGGATGTTGTTATTGAGTTAAAGCTGGGGTGGCTTCTGTTCGCATAACAACATCTTTTGTTTTGACTTTTACCTAAAAAGCTAATAGTATCTCACATTTTACATAGGAATATACTGGCTATTAATAAAAGCGTTAATATTTATTCATATCATTCTAGCGATTTAATTTAATTCAAAGTATAATCTCATTTAGGCCATAAAAAGGTCCTAAATATCCAACATCTTCAATAAGACAATCTTTTATATATATGAGTACGTTTTAAGACTCTTAGAAACAATTTCACAGCCGTAAATTATAAACTCAAAACAATATTTTGTTTTAATATATAATATTTTATATTATTTAACAATATATCTTTATTGAATCGTTTTAAATTAAAGCCTAACTATAAGTTTTAGAATCGTAAAGACTAATAACATTACATTACAAATTTTTTTACATAAACAAACTATTACATTACAAACTATGAAATATATAATGATTTGTAAATTATTTGAAGGGACCCCTGAATAAGTAGCCAGGGCTTATTTATCAGATATCGTATAAGTTGAATTAATCAGGGTGATCTTTAGGAAAGCAGTATGGCGGGTCTATTATTTCGTTTCAGTCTATTAGCAAGAGGTCTAGCCAACGGATTCACATAGTTTTATATGTTATATATGTTTTCATTTCTGATATACCAGGGTGCACCAGTTATCATTCTTAGAATCTATGCTTGAGCTCTTCGCAGGATTTCTACATTTGACGTACAGGCATTGCCATATAGCTGTAAGCCATACATACAGATTGGCTTAATGACTTGATTGTATAACTGAAGTTAGTATTAAGATTTATGTTACGTTTGTGAAATGGGTCCTAAAAGGTATCTATATATGAAAGATTGTGATATTGAAAACGTTAGATATTTTATATTCTTTATATATATTTCTTTAAGATTATATAGTAAATAAAATTAAAGTGTTTGTTATCAAAAGAAATATAACCAACTTTTAAACTGTCCATATTCAAGTGTACTTAATGGTTTTTCAATAAATATTCTCTATTTTTAATTACTGAAATCAAAACGCCATTATATAAGCTTTCCCCTCATGTATCTCTGCAAATGCGAGAATCTATAAAAGGAAATAGTAAACAACCCACATCAATCTCTAAGTGCTAGCTAACGAGTTAGAAAGTTTAACTGTGACCAATTTGATATAATCAACGTAAGAACGCATTAAATTTATAGCTTTTGTTCTGTTTCATTAGAATTGGAATAACCCACAGAATGACTTAAAGCAATCCGCTAGTTACACAAGCTTTTACTTAATAATGTTTACATGAGTTACCGATAACTGTCAAACATTACTTCTGTTCACCTGTTCACCAATCTAAAGGAGAAAGAGACCTCGTATTGTACCCCTGCTTTCTCTGTATAAGCGAAGGTTGTATCCGAATAAATATATAAAGGTTTCACAGCTCTAGAGATAGAATATGCTAATCTTATATCATTCTGCTCAGTATATTGAAAACTTTAAATTCATAATGTGAAATAAATGACTTACTTATCTTTCAGTTGAAAATTTTTTTAAATATTTATCTGAAATAGACTTCTTTATTTTTCTCTTGACAAACTGTTTCTTATATATATCTATTTTTCAAATGAATTTCATATCCAATCCTTAAAAACTTCTTTAAAATCCAAATCTAACGCAAATATTTTTGCGAACCCAAAAAACAGTTTGATAAAGGTATATAACTGGAATAGATTTTATCATCTCTTCTGTACCGAACACATATATTATTCAATCCTTAAACACTTCATGAATACCTAGATTTAAAATAGCTGTCTTAAATCTTGAATACTCGTATTTCTTCAAAGATCAATGATGTGCTTGAAATAGATTGTATACCCACTACGTCTTTAAGATTCCAGGTTTTTATTGAAAGTATTAAAAAAAGAACTTTTAAAAGTAAATTTTGTTTTTCAACAATACAATTAGAATTAATATTAATATAAGATACCAGAATTACCTTAACTAAAAATAGTTCAAATGTTGTTGAAATCTTTTTTGCCCATGCTATAATGTAACCAAAAGTATAATTACTAAATGAACACTCTTATAATCAGACGTAGTCAGAAACTTACTTTGGGGCTACTTTTTTATAAAATATTAAATTGATTATAGTTTTATTTACCACTCAATCATACTCAATCATAGCATTATGTATTTTAATGTAATGTTCTTGAGATTCGAGTAATTTAAGCAATCTCAAGTAAATTAACTGGTCTAACGACGCTAGCGGAAACATACTAGAAGTAAAAAAGATATCTACATTCATACAGTCCTTCGATTCTTTAGTCAAGGGTTTCTTTAGTTGTATGGGTTTCAGCACGTTAATCGCTAACTCGGCTGCTTTTCTGCTTATATGGTATATACTAATATTATAATCTTAATAAATAAATGTCTTAAGTATATACAAAATACTACAAAATAATATCCAAAATTAATTTTAAGTTAGAATCTATTATATTCTACAAAAATGGATATAACAATGCATCAAATCTCTTCTAAAACTGGAAACAAATGTAAAATTTACAAATGCAACTGCTTCAGATGACTTTTCTTTAATTGTCTCTCTCTATCGAGGAAACGAGTATATATAGAGACTAAAGAATACCTTACTAAGGTATCTTTATACCTATATGGTATCAAGTCTCTTCAAAAATTACTAACAAATGTAACATTTACAAATGCAACTGCTTTGGAGGACTTTTCTTTAATTAACTCTCTCTATCGAGGAAACGAGTATATACAGAGACTAAAGAATATCTTACTAAGGTATCTTCATAACTATATGGTAAGTTTCTTCAAAAATTGCTTACAAATGTAATATTTACAAATGCAATTGCTTCAAAAGGGTCTCTTTCAATTGTCTCTCTTCATCGAGGAAATGAGTATGTATAGAAACCAACGAATACCTTTCTTAGGAATTCTTAGGTATAATCATATCTATGTCTTAAGGTATTCTTTATATAAACATTTTACAATGTGTGATAATGCTCTTCAGATATCTGAACAATTTATTCATATTGGGTTACTTAGACTATTTTAAAAATTCAATATATCGAATGCCAAAATCACTACAAATTCTAAAATAAATATATTTAATATTATATGGCTTATGTTTTTTTATTCAACCTTATAGACACATAATTTCTTTTACATAATAAATTGGTATAACTAATATTGAACAATAATAATAGATTATATCAATGGCATGTCATAAAATTGAAAATAAACATTATTTCAAGGGAACTTTATATGGTACAAATTGAATATTGGCAACGTTAACTAATGTATATTATCGCTCACTGTTAACTATTTATTGCGCTATTAAATCAAACCCTTTAGATATACCTATCGTTTTCATTACAATGAAATAGATATATAAACAACCTTATCTCTTAGAAATTTTGGCGGAAGTCAAGTAAGTCCAGAACGT